TCCTGCCGCCCAGTTCCAAGCTTCAGGACGCCGATAGTTTAGGTAATTTCTTTTTACAGTTAAAATAATGATAATTTAAAAAAAAAACATAAGACCTGCTTTATAGTTAGTTCAGTTTGTTTACGCACGATTGTCTCGAGCGGGGTGAGGAAACGGTTAGTGTCGCACGGGAGGCGGGGGCTTGCTGGGTAGTACGCGCATAGACTGCGGCCCGGTCGGCCGGAAGCCTTGAGCGGTGAAACCGCGCCGGTTAGACGTCAGGCGTTATATAATAGTTATGGCGCGACTTCCGGGTCGATTTAGAGGTCGCCTTTTGTTTTTGATACAATTGCCGCGTCGAAAAGACGGCCTCCAAGTTGTTTGATTTTGTCATTATTATACGTGACAACGAGGCTTATTATTGATTTTTTTATTTGCGCGAAGCCCGGGTCGATTATTCGTGCGAGCCTCTTACAGTCCGTCCATAATTTCGAGAAGCGGCTCGAGCAGGTCATGGCCCGAAGGGCCGTAGTGGAGGAGGCTTGCACCGAGCTAATGGGCTCGGGAGCGGAACAGGGAGTCCTAGACTCCTGCCTCGCGGACTAAGAGCAATTTTTTTCACTCACGGACGACTTGATCGAGGCGGGGGCCAAGTATGCTAGTGACGCGCGTGAAGCTCGGCTGAGTGGCCTGCTCGACTCCCCTCGGAAGCAGCCTACTCAGCCGGAGCTGTTGGGACGACTCCCAACTCTGGAACTGCCAAGGTTCTCCAGGGTTCTCTCCGACTGGCTGACCTTTGTGGGACTGTTTGATAGCCTAGTGGACGCCCGGAGGGACTTGACACCAAGCCAGAAGATGGCTTATCTCCTGGCCTCACTGGAGGGGGAGGCCCTGGGCGTCGTCGGCCATCTGAAATTGTCGGACGACGTCTACGAGACCGCTCGGGACCTCCTCGCTGGAAGGTACGACAACGTATGGCGAATCGCGCACGAACACGTCAAGCAGCTGTTAAACCTCCCGCTGCTTAAGGACCGAGCCAGACTACGGCCGGACCTCGTAAATCCAGTCTTGGTGGCCTGCAATTCTTTGAGGCGGCTGGATTTACCGGTGGACGAATGCTCCTTTTTGCTGCTCCACATTGTGCTGTCCCGCCTGCCCCTCGATCTTCGGATCCACTTCGAGGAGAGGTACGGCGGGGACGGAGCCTCCTATATTCCGCCCTTCAGGGATCTGCTGCGGTTCTTGGAGGAGCAGTGCAGGCAGATCGAAAACTCAGCGGGCCCCGTCGACGACCTACATACTGCCAACCGAGCCGTGCCCAGGGAGAGGCGGAATCACCCGGGCAAGTCGTCGTCAACCCCCCTCAGACCGAGCGGTGCTCCCGCTGGAGGTCGCCGCTCCCTACATTCTTATAATGTAGGGGGGAGGGTCGTCACCCGCCCTCAGCGTGTGGAGAGGAACTTCACAGCCACTCAGCGGTCAGCGAGACCCTTCTCACCCCCGTTGGCTGAGACGCCGCGACTGGAGTGCTACCCTCCCCCCTTTGGTCGGTACCGGTACTACGGGGTTCCTGCAACCTCGAAGTTGTCCCGGGCCTCAAGGCCGAGGTTCCCCGAAGCTCCCCAGGTCGACCCGTTTGGTTATTTCCAACCCCGGGTTGTTGAGATGCCGCCGGATTGCCGCTTTCGGGACCCCCGGTTCGAGTGCCGGTCTGATGGAAGCAGCCCCAGCTAGGTAGTTGCCGCCCTAGCTCCCACCACGGCCGCCTCCACTGATCCTTGTGCCGTCAACAGCCCACCTGTCAAACTGTTCTATTGCCGACGGCCTCAGTGAAGGTGTACAACCCGAGTGGCGATTGTGTAACGGTTCGCGCTATATTGTATTCGGGTTCAAACACGGTGTGGCCTCCACTTGGAAAAAAAAATTGCTTGGGTTTTCTGCGAAATGTTTCGTAGTTGTAGCGGTTGTGAGTACAAAGGTGAATTTGAAATACTCTTTGAATGCGTGTACATGTGTTTTTGTAAATATATTTGATCGTTGCTTTTTTGCGTTTGCTTTGCGTTTGCTTGCTTGTTGAAAGAAAAATTGAAATTGAGTAACTATTTGTGCCGAAGGAAATAAAATTTAATCCTTTTGTTTTCACATTTTGTTGGCATTGTCGAAGATATTTATTTTGGAAAAAAAGGGAATATCTATTATGTTTATCGTTTTGCTTAATTTATCTGTTTTGATCAATGCGCATCGAGCGTTACATTCAACGTTATATGTTGAAAGATTGTTAGTTGAGCTTACTGTCAGAGTTCGTGAAATTTTACATTTTTACTATGTAGCTCCTAAAATGTGTCCCTTTTGTTTTTGTTTTGTTTTTGTGTTTTTTATTGCGCTTCGGTTGCTGGATTATTTGCACCGGGAGTTTTGGATTTTGGCTGGCCGACGCACTATTCGGAGCGTCCCTTTTGGGAACATACCTTGTTGTAGATTGAGGGCCACCATATCGCAGCCGATGATGGGTGACTTACCACCTGACCGCGTCGGGGCCATCCGACCATTCGCTGGAATCGGAACCGACTTTGCTGGCACGTTCTTCGTCAAGTCCTCCAACCTACGTAACGCGCGTTCACATAAGGCCTATCTGTGCGTTTTCGTGTGCCTCACGACTAGGGTCGTTCACTTAGAACTTACAAGTGCCCTCAGCACTGAAGCCTTTGTGGCCACGCTGGGCCGGTTCGTATCGCGTCGCGGTTTGCCGGACCGGATCCGGTCGGATTGCGGAACGGATTGTAGGGGCACGGATAGATATTTGAAGGAGGTCGTCTGTCTAGCAACAGGATTTATTTAGGTGCTGTGATGTCCAAGAAGGGCATCCAGTGGAAATTCGACCCTCCGGCTTGCCCACGCTGGGGCGGTGATTTTGAGGCGGTGGTTGGGGTTGCGAGAGCGCATCTCCGTCGCGCTAGTGGACGAGGTTTTAGTTGGAGATTCAGTCTTGCAACGTGCCGTCGCGGCCCTATCCCGGTTGCCAATTTACTCGCGGACATAGGTCCTTATGTCCGGGACGGTAGTTTGTTTACGCACGATTGTCTCGAGCGGGGTGAGGAAACGGTTAGTGTCGCGCGGGAGGCGGGGGTTTGCTGGGTCGTACGCGCATAGACCGCGGCCCAGCCGGAAGCCTTGAGCGGTGAAACCGCGCCGGTTAGACGTCAGGCGTTATATAATAGTTGTGGCGCGACTTCCGGGTCGATTTAGAGGTCACGTTTTGTTTTTGATACAATTGCCGCGTCGAAAAGACGGCCTCCAAGTTGTTATATTTTGTCATTAATATACGTGACAACGAGGCTTATTCTTGATTTTTTTTATTTGTGCGAAGCCCGGGTCGATTATAGGTCGCGAGACCGCCTCGAATTTAGTCATCTGTTTTGAACGTGTTACGTGACAAGTCCTAATTTGAATTTGAAGTTAATTAAATGTACAATAAAATGATAAACTAATATAGTGAAAATAGAAGCAGACGATTTCAATTGGTGAACGCTCCCCTGGGCGGATCCCACATTTGGAGAGAGGCAGCGCCTCGGGATCTGCAGTCCAAGATCAGCGGGGCTGCCAGGTTACACAAACTATACACTTTCCTACACTACACACCCACTACCATTTACTTGCCCCTGACGCCCCTTGTGGTAGACCCTACACTTCTGAAATTCGGTAAGTTTTGTTTTTGCGTATCTAACCGTTTCAATTTAATTATGCATAGGTCTTTGGACCCTCCCCTTTGTTACTCGTCTAGTTGGACTACGAATGGGCCCTAGTTCAATAGTCTTTTGTCGGGTTAACTGGTAACACAGTTAGTATGCAAAGTTTCATAATCTTATTTAAAGTATTTTTTGAATAACAGCGGTTTATTACGAGAAAATTTGACGGAATCATGTTTTCGTCTAACATAGTACTTAACATTGATCCTCAACGTTACCATATATTTATTTCAAAATTAATGCTGCAATATTTTTGGTATAACGGAGGATCTTGCAAAGCCATTTGAGGTTATATTTACCCTTAATCTCGTCGCGGCGCCTTTGACAAAATGCGAGACGTGCCAAGGCCGCGCGACACAAAGGCGGAAGTATCTAAGCGAACAGACTATAATTTAATCAGTCCCAGTAAAACGCCTAAACATGCAGATGTTTTATCATTAATAAGGTCATCCAGAAAATGTATATCATAAAGTAAAGACCATTAAGAAATTTGTTTAGATTGAGTTAAGGTTTATAGGAAAAAGCCAGCAGACCACCTTGTTGATATTCCAATAGCGTCCTATTTCTACAACATACAAAATGCACAAATTCGACAGTCAGTGTGGTCTCTTACATAGGACAAACAGAAAGTTTGATAATAACGAGTTTAAAAGAATACATAGTTGAGGTGGAGCACCGACGCGACGCTTTGAAATACTGCAGTCTCTAAACATGTTTAGAATCATCCTTGCCATTTTATAATTTTTGTTAAATCATACATTCTCTCGCAAAGAAATACCGAATTTAAATCACTAAAAAATACCAAATTCGAAAAGTATAATGTCACATTTAACATTGACGCCCAGTCTGAGAGTATCTTTTATGTTGGGAATTTGGTCCTAGACCTTTAAGTCCTTCCAGAAATTGTAAATTTGTCAGGTTTCATGGTATTATAAGCCAGCGCTTGACTACTATACCACCTGATGGTACGTGGTGGTGCAGTCGAAGATGGTATTTATTTATTTAAAGTAGAGTAAGTAAAGCGCACTGATTTAAAAAAAAAAACCTATTCATTCTCGTTTTGAAGACAGCCACATTAAAATTCCAATCTTTTGCTGTACACATTATGAACAATGAAGTAAACCGTTTGGTTCGAATGCGTGGTACGTTGATAACAAAGGTGCGGAGATGAATGTGTGTGTGTGTGTGTGTGTGTGTGTTTGTGTGTGTGTGTGTGAGCATACGTGTGATTGCGTGTGTGTGCGTGCATATATTTGTAGTCGCATACTCGCATACCTCTAGGAAGGAGGTCGCAGACTGTATGTGGTGGTGCAGCGCGCGCATGGAGTGTGGCGGCGGGGCGGCGGGGGCGACGGGGGCAGGCGCGAGGTCGTTGTCCGCCCGGCGCGCCACGCCCACCGGCACGTCCACCAGCAGGTAGGCCACGGGCACGCGCCGCGCCGCCACGCCCACCTCATTGCCGTACGCGTCGCGCTCCTGCACGTGCACAAGCTCCTTACAACACATCGCTCTCTACAATATTACAAACCTACATATAATGTCCTCCACACCCAATTTCGGTTGCGGCAGTTAAATAACAATATATCATGACTGGATCTTACTGACATTTTTAAGCAAGTTAAAATAAATATATTTATAATAATCTATATTGGGATGGTACCTAAACACGCATCCAGACTAGGTATCTAAACATAAGTGAATGCTGTTACCCATAGCCTTTATGTATCCTCGAATATAACTAAACTCAGGGTGCGTTGTCATCCTTGAGGACCAAGATGGATTGCCTCTTTTCTAATGAAGGAAGTCTTCTGTTTTCTTTACTAACCGTACGAAACACAGCACCATTACAACACTATTTTACGGTGATATTCAAAAAGAGCATGATCTTTTCGCGGTCATATTATTACAGCTATAAATGTAGTTGTTGTGGCTTTACCACTTATTTTAAATATGTCCAACGGTTTTACGTGATTTGCGACGCACGGGTATTAAACACCGCTAACTTCCCGACTGACTAAAATAATTAAATTTGCCTCGACTCGATTCGAACCCTTGATATCTTTCGTTTTTTTTTTTAACTATAAGCTTAGGAACACGAGGACTTTCACCTGTTTCATAGAGGCTGTTTACATAGGTACATAAATTTCACAAGGATAAACACCCAAGCCCGGAACAATTTTCTATAGAGTATACAAATACCCTGTTCTGTGCGACTTTTAGACACGCGGCTCTCACCGCTGCAGTTCATTGTCATGTATCACATCTGTAAAATACTGAGAACTCCTAAGAAATGATCACTCGCTAATATAGCTTTCTAACATCTTTTATACTGTTAATACCTGAAGCCGGTACCAGTTACGATAAACAACAAGGGCCGATCCTCATCATAATGCCATTCACAGTTTGTTCTCGGTCTGATCACGCTCTGATAAAATATTATCAAGTAAAAAATATATGTGTGCATTCATACTATCCGGTAACAGCCAAGTTCCGGTCGAATCCCATTCCATTATAATAAATCGGACCGAGAACGAACTGTGAACGACAAATGAGGATCGGCCCTAAAAGTTAAAATTAGAGCCTACATACGTCCCACCGCTAGGTACAGGCCTCCTCTCACTGCTGAAAGGGTTTTAGGCCAAGAACATTCCACCACTCACCACCAAGTTCATTGGGGTGTTGGTATTGGCGTATTGGCGAATTTCACACGTCGTTGAAATATTTTTTTCTTATTTCTCAGACATGCAAGTTTCCTTAGGATATTTACCTTCACCGCCGAGCACGTGGTAAATCCATACTTAAAATTACAATTAACAATTTCATTGGTGTCAGTGGGGATCGAGCCCAGGTTACTCACGTACTGTGAAATTTACAGCGAGCACTAACCACCTGAGCTAGCACGGCATCTTCAATCAACGATCAACAATGATGGCAGATAATCCCTTCTTACCAATTTATCCTTATTACTAAGAGTATATATATATATATATATATATATATATATATATAATCACGATGTCGTGGGATATCAAAAGTACCCATCAAACCAAATCACAACAACAAAAGTTGCAACCATAAATCATTCGTCGTTCTCCATACCTGTTTTCCAGACTATGCTTCGACCGACTTTTTTTTAATTTGGACAACTTACAAATAGACCCGGAAATCAACAAAACATGTTCTTTGAGGCTTTGTTGAATAATTCCTTGATAAGCTAAAGAATGGAAAAAACAGGGTACATTTAGTTTCATACATTTATACAGGGTAATTAAGGACTCGAAGACAGACCCCGATCCGGACGTCCGTCGGTATATAAGACAACAGACAGTTTAATACAACATCCCCCCCAACAAGCTTTCGGCTGACCTGAACTGCCTCCTGGCGGCTCAGGCCGAGCCTACATAACACATCCCTTAATCTGCCTTAGTTAGGCACACTTCTAAGCGGCTTTTCGTCGCTTGCGCCCTCCTTTCTGCTAAGGAGGGTCGCGTTCGTATACGGCTTAGAGATCTCTAGTCAGATCGTTAAGCCAGTCCCTAAAAGGCGGTGTCTAGTGGGTAAAAGTCTCCACATAACCACGCAGCCGGCTGCGTGGTATGCTATGAGCATTCAACGCCTCCCTCCCCCGCTTTCCGGAGGGTTGCCCATATTTGCTTCGGGCGCAAAAAAAAATAATACAACTTGTTGAAGAGAACTCATAGACCTACACTGCAGTTCGAAATTTAGTTGCGTTAGCGACAGTGTAGAAGTAAGGTTGTTGGGTTCACATACATTATTAAAAGTACACTGACTACTCTCTCATCGCAGAACTAAAACTTAGTTGGATTATCCAACTAGCTTTTCGGTCATTATTCTACAAAGACCCATTTTAAGGTTATCTGGGTGCACGGTAGTGCCCCGCCAAGTCGAGCAAAAAAGCGGCACGGCCGTAACATTTTATTCTCGAAGCAGTTCGGGCCATCCATTAATTAAGAGATAAGCAGGTTAAACTATAAACGTAATGAACCCTTGTTTGAATTATACTGGTTCCTAAAAAGCACTCCCGCATTAGCAATGCAACTCCAAATTCGTTTAATTCCTAATACCATAAATGTTAAGGGATCTTTTAATACACAAATCACTCAAAAGAATAACAAATTTATAAACCACTACCTAATATTTCAAAGATATAAATCAAAAACGTTTAATAGGTACACGTCGATGCAGTATGTGTCAGTTTGTTTGTTTGTTATGGTTACGTTAATAAACATAAATTGGTGTAAATAAGTACTGAAATGTGAAAATAATATAAAATATTGAAGATATTAAAATTATTAAGCCACCATGTAAAAAATAAACTCCAATGTAAATAAAGGCTTACATATTATGTATAATCTCGTAGACCTAGTTTATTACGTGGTAGAGCTATGCTGCAGTTATATTAGTAGTATAGTTGTAGCACGAATGGGTCGGCTTGACCGGGGAAGGACCACGCTTTCACAGAATACCAGCGTAAAATAGTAGCTTAATGCTGCTGTGTTTCGTATAGTGAATGTAGAGAACCGGAGACGTTTTTTTACTGAAAACGAGGCATTCCATCTCAGTCCTCACGGGTGACAACGCATCTGCATTTTGATTCGTAATCTAGGATAGATGTAGATGTGTATGGGCCGCAGCAACCACTTACCATCAGGCGGACGGGGTGCTCGTTAGACACCCTAACCTATAAAAAAATAGCTTGGATGGATACGTATCTTTCTAAGATACGACTCTTGAAAATATTCCTCAATCCAAAATCATAACGTTTATTGGTGATAGTACAGATGTTAAAATAAATAATCACGTAATAATTGTGACAGGCAAAGTCAGAAGTAGCGTAATATGTAATTCGACATCGGGTCGCACCGCTCGACTTACGACAGCTACAGCGCACCTGTAGCCGTGCTATTACGTAAATGCAATTAGCGAGCGGTGCGCGGATCGATACGCGGCGGCCCGCCCGCACCGACCAGCCGCACCGACGCGATGCGCGACGTATGCTTGTCGCGTTGTCGACTTTTGAAAAGTCTAATGACAAATCATAAAGGTTTTCTTACCTCATTAAAGTGGAACATTATTTGTATATCGCATAGTTTTAACGCACAAAATAATTGTTCTTGTCAACAATTTTTTTAATGTTGCTCTTTAAAGTTTCTCTTAAATTAAATAAATAGTCCCTTTGATAAACATTTAATTCTTCGAGTAATTTTAATTGTCATTAGTAAGCGCGTTTAAATTTTATCATTCATTATTAAGCTAGCGACCCGCCCCGGTTGCGCGCGCGTGATTTTCAGATCTCGACAACAACGCCACCTATCAGGTCCAAATGTAAATCTAAACCATGTGGGGACCCATACAAATACACCCAAAAATATCATTAAAATTTTTCGAACCGTTTTTAAATCTTAGCGAGACTAACGGACAACAATAGATTTTTATATATTGAGATTGTAAACTCAATATATAAAAATAATATAAACAAAATTGATCTTTTTAAAACACATTAAAATACAAAAAATCACCTTGTTTTTCAATTTTATTTAAACCAATTAAATTAATAAAAAAGAAGCAAAGACGAAAACGATTATTTTTACAAAAGGAAAAATCTATATATTATTAGCTTCCAAAATCAGTGTTACAAGAAAGTGCGTAATATGCATGTATATAATATATATATTACATGAATTAAAGTCCCGACGCCAGAAGATAATAAATTATTTTTTACTTATAAGTTTACTTTTTGAACCTTTCGAGTGATCTGTATAAAGTTGAAATTATAGCGTCGTTTATATTAATAGGTCGTCCGTAATTTTTTCACATTTGGGTGTGAAATTTTTCAAACTCAAATGAGACTTTTCAAGTTCTATTCAATGAAAAAATGAATTGTTAAAATCGATCGACAATCGGTGAAGATATCGTGTAATATACAAAAATCCAAACAGTCGAATTCAGAACCTGTTATTTTTAAGTCGTTTTAAAAAGTAATTTTATATCGCAAATACGGAAACATAAAGTGAAAAGAAGTAAAATCAAAATATAAAGAATATGGGGGGCGAATAACGTTTCAACAACGTTACGTCGACGGAAACCAATCTGTTGATCGACCTATGTGAAGCGCGGCGCAGAATCGAAACAACATGGCGTGTGTGGTGTACACAAAACGTAAAACGATGTGGGATTCCACATCGATTCCAGTGTTTTAGTTCGGTCGAACAAGTGAAATTCCACCCCGGTCGCGTCGGCGACGCGGCCGCGAGGCGTGCGAGCATGTGAGTGCTGGCACCGTGGAGTCCCCGCGGCCGGAGGGGCGTGCGGGCGAGCGGGCGAACGAGCGGGCGAACGATCCAGCCCGCTGTCCCCGCTGCCGGTGCACCGTGGACGCGAGCGAGCGAGCGGCTCGACTGCTCGCTTGCTCACACACACTGTGCTCGGCGTGCGCTCGCGCGCTGTCAGCGAGCGGCGAGCTGCGCTGTCCGCTGTGCTGGACGCGCACAGCGGGCGACGCAGCGTGCGCGTCGTGCTGGTCGCACGCACAGGCGCTGCCGCTGCGCGCTGAGCTGCGGCGCCTGGCCGCGCGCCGCCGCGACTTCCTCCTGCGGGCTCTAGACGCTGCCACCGCGCTCAAACTGCGCCTCGAGGCCGAACTAACAGCATCCGCTGACCTCGCCGAACGCGCCTCACCTCCTCCCGCAGAACTGGAGCGCCTGCGAGCGTGCCGAGCGGAAGCACTTATGCAGTGCCGGTTCGACGATCTCGTTCGCAGCGCAGCCGTGCCGCTCGACTTCGAGATTCTACGTCGCGCGTTATCCGACCTAAGCGCCGCCGATTCACCACCACCGGTAGTCACGCCCGACCCAGTGCTGTTCCTGGCCAACTACTGTACTACACAGCTATATCTGCAGTATCTCACGCGGCATAAATTTTCGCCGTCGACGACGCTGACGCGCATACCTCATGCGTTCCCTCTGTTCTACTTCAACCTGGAAGTGAACGGTTTACCGTTCGGGCGTGTGGTGATAGAGGTGCGGAGTGATCTGGCACCGCGGATGGCGCGCAATTTCAAGGTGCTGGCGACTGGGGAGCTCGGCGTGGGTTACCGCGGCTGTACCGTGTTCCAGTGTTGGGAGAACGAGAGCGTCATAACGGGCGACTATGAGCTGAACAACGGCCGCGGCGGCCGCTCCGCGTTCGAGGAGAGCTACTTTATGCCAGACGACACCAAGATGGCGGCAGTGCGCGGCTCGGTGGGCATGCGGCGCTCGCAGAAACGCCACGACAATTTGGGCCTCGTGGGATCTCAGTTCCGCATCGTGCTGCGAGAGATGCGCGGCTTCACGGCCATCTTCGCGTTCGTTGTTGAGGGTCTTGAAATAGTGGACCGGCTGAGTCGCACGGGCGACAGCTCCGGCAAGCCACAGAGCACCATCCTTATCGCCAGCTGCGGCAAACTGAATTGACGCGACGTAGACCGTGCTGTCGTTAATAGTCAGCATGTTAGTCCTCTCTAAATATTCTCTCGCGATTCTGGTACCTTTTTATACTTAAATGACGGACCAACGCTACTTCTCGTCTACAAATCTTACTCGGACTTTGTGCTATTTTTAAAAATATAAAAATTTTGATGTATTTACGCGTTGTTTCGAAGTTCGTCAGCTTGAGCTTCTGTATTCGTTTTTTCGCATCATTGATAATCGTTATCGGAGTCTCGTCGAATGCGTGTACTCTGTGTTATTTATATGTAATTGTATTAGTGCCGGCCAACAGGGATGCCGAAATGCCAGTTACATTAAGTAGGTCGTTCTAAGCTCGTTAGAAGTGGCTTAATGTGTTCAAATTGTCAACGAGCAGCGGGCCTATTGTATGCGCGCGTTTCGAGATGTTTGTTAACGCTTTCGGGAACAGCGCAGCGTGAAATCATTCGGAATCTCATTATATGTTTTATTTAGTAACTAATCGTAACGTTTCGATCTGTGTCAATATAAATGTTAAATGTTATAGAGAATATATAAAGCCCGTGTCACGAGCCGCGGCTCCACTTGGCTTCGTGTAGTAAAACGGAATGTTATAGAGATATATTTACTGCGGTTACGATAGATAAATATATTTACAAACAAACGTTACCTCTCGTCAGCGCGATAGAAAAGTTTATAATGCGAAAATAAATTATTCCCGTAGTTACTTACGTCACGTTCTGCAATGAGGGCATCCATCAGAGGTGGCGCTACTTTGGAATGAGGTGAAATATTTGACAGATTTCATAGTGGGAAAGTTAATTCGTTAGGGAAATGCATGGATTAATGTTTCTTCCTGTAATATTTATATTTTATATCAATTAGATAAAAATTGAATAACCCAACCCACGGATATTCTTTAAATGAAAAAAAATATAAAAATGAAGTTAAAATGTGCAAAAATTAAAGAGCAAATCGTTGAGATATTGTTTTGTGTAATAATATAATACTCTAGAAACTGATAAACTTCTCAATTAAATAATACCGTGTACCAAAAAACTTCACCTCAGCCCTAACTGGCGACACCTGGTGCGCGGAGAATACTGGCCCTCACTACTGAGCGTACACCAGACTGTGATGGTAAGGGCGAGGGAGAGGGCGCGGCGCGGCCCGGTCAGTGCCTGTCAACTCGGACTATACACATTGTTTAGCTTACCTGACTCGCGTATTCACTTGTTAAGTTTATTTTTAGTGTCCGACCAAAGGTCGATTTCTGAGCCGAAGCCTATAATCGACTATCGCCACAACCTTCAGGCGTAGCCGAAGCGGAAACCGAAGGCTTAAAACCACTACGAATTTCAGTTCAACATTGTCTAAATTTTTTAAATTAAAGGTTTATATTCACTAAATAATATAAAAAATATTGTATCAACTCCTTGAGATGTTTAAAATTGCGTCCATCGCGCTCTTGCTCGTTCCTAACAATTTGTTCCACTTCGGTTACTAGGAACCTTCGACTTCGGCCATATCTTGGCTCAATATAACCGAAGTCAAAGATTTCACCCATGGAGGTTTTTCTAACCTAAGGTGGCCGAAGCCAAAAACAAAGCGGAATTTTCGGTCAGACACTATTTATATTTTCTAACAAAATGTATGTCGCGAAGCCCGTGCGATTGCTGTTGTGTATATCAATATATATCTACATTATACTGCGATGTAGTAGTTATCACTTTTTCGATATAGTATATAAGTGATCTTAGGGTTTGGTAGGGGCCGAGCCCCAGTTTGTTGAAATATATGTATGAGCATATTGCAATGTCCAGTGCGAAACGTGATAAATAAATATATTAAGCAGCACCGCCGTAGTTTTATTTCAACACAACTCACAAGTCTTGTCAATGAAATTTACAAAAAAATTAGGCAAACAATCCAAATAGTGTGTACTATCATAGAACTTATATTTTTACGTACGTGTATTTGAAACAATAGACTAAAATTTAGGCAGCAGTCGGCACGCTAAGTTTAGTAAATTAAACCAACACAAACACATACTTAACGTTTTTAAGGTGCTTGCAAACACACAACAGTTTTCTCAGGTATATCTTCAATACCTACGTGGTAGAGCCATACTACAGACATTTGTATGGTTGTAGCAAGAATAGGTCGGCTCGAGCGGGGAAGGACCATGCTCTCACAGAATACCAGCGTAAAATAGTAGAGAACCGGAGACCCTTTTTATTGGAAACGAGGCATTCCACCTTAGTCCTCAGGGGAGGCAACGCATCTGCATTTTGATTCTTAATCGAGGATAGATGAACATGTTTATGGGCCACATCATCCACTTACCATCAGGTGGACTGTGTGCTCGTTTGTCATTCATATTCTATTCTATAAAAAAAACTGTTGTTTCCAAAACATGTTTATTTTTGCCGATACAAAGAACTGGCAAACTAACTACAAACAACTATGGCGTATATATATATTTCTTTATTCGCGGATCTAAGCCGTACATACATATTAATAAAAAGGATTCTAATAGGTATTCAACCCAATATTCTTTATAATAAAAAATAAAATATATAAATTTCTTTGCAACTTTCCGCTAAACATATAAAATGATGTGTCTTACCTGGATTGAAGCGCACCTCCTGACATAACTCCGTCACCACTAGACCAAGCAAAGAAATTTATATTTTTATATTTTATTTTTTATTATAATGGATTTCCGCAAAGTAACGCCTGATTCTATCAATTACCAATATTCTTTGTAAACGCGTCGTCAAATGGACTAATAAAAAAGTAAAATAGACCTTATTACAACCATGCCTAAAGCATATTATAAAATGAAGTCGCCACTGTATTGGTTCGACCTTTGATATAAACCGCCTTCGCCGTGGTCGGTGTTTTTTAGAATGTAAACAAACAGAATTAGAGCAACCTTATTACTCAATGCATAAAGTATATTTTTAAATGCTGCCAAATATTAGACGTTCCGTCCTTTGCGTGTTTTATTGTTTCATCTTTCCATTCGTTACAAAAATTGTGATCGAGTAACACGTCTTTACCGGTGTCTTCCTAATTTATAATGTCGACTAAAACAAAAATGGAAAACTAGTTTCGACGCGAAAAAATCTCTGTTACCGCTTAAAGTGAAAATAGAAATGCTTGATTGTTGACGTCTTGGAGAGTCGTTTGCATCCATATCACGCTCATTCAATGTCAAAGAATACACTGTACGATCGATAAAAAAATCAGAAGATAAAATAAGGTCGTCTGTAGCTTCAACTTCACTGTCAGCGACAACTGTTGGTGATCTAGCAATAGAAAAAAAGGTGGAAGTGGCGTTGTCATTATGCATCGAAGACCGCAACCAAAAAAGGGTGCCCCTGAGTGGTCCAATGGTCCGGGAGAAGGCAAAGCGTCTGTTAAAGAACCTGGTGATAGTTTTGGTGGTGAATATACATATGGAGGATTACAAGCATCGGAAGGTTGGTTCAATAAATTCAAGGTAGGACAATCATTGCATAGCATTAAAATTGTTGGAGAAGCTGGATCTGCTGCAGAAAGATATTTAGAAGAATTTGTAAACCTAGTAGCTGATGGAGGATACAAACCTGAGCAAGTATTGAATGTATACAAAAGTGCACTGTTTTAGAAGAGAATGCCAAACAAAACATTCATTTCTAAAAGCGAAAAGTCTGCTCCTGGATTTAAGGTAGCAAAAGATAGATTACACTGGCTATTTTCTAATGCATCTGGAGATTATGTCACGAAACCAATGATGCTATACATATCGTTAAAACCTCCTACTTCAAATAATCAAAACAAGGATGACCTGCCAGTGTTTTGCCGTGCTAAAAAAGCGTGGGTTCTAAGCGCTATTTTATGTGACTTTTTCCGGAATTGTTTTGTTTCTTAAGTTGAAACTTAATTTAAAAAAAAAAGAATTTAGACTTTAAAGCAATTCTAGTTTTGGATAATGCACTAGGTCATCCTCGCGAACTTGAAACTATGCAACCTTGAAAAAAACCTTGAAACAATAAAAGTGACATTTTTACCTTCCAACACGAAGCCTTTAAACTCTATTACATTAGACGAACCTTAAAAATCATATTGGATAATATGGAAGGTGATCTTGATGTGAATGTAATGGAATGCTGGAAGAAATCAGACATACATAACATAAAAGAATCATTGGAAGAACTAAAGCCATACACATTGAAATCGCGCTGGAAAAAATGTGGCTTGCTCTAACTGCAGAAAATGACGAAAAATCTTTGCAAATTCAAACTTTGACTGCAAACATAGCAGAAATTGCGAATGGAAAAGGATCAGATGGGTTCGAAAAGACAGAATCAAGTGACATTCAGGAGTTACTTGAATCGGAAGATGAAGATTTGACTGAAACCGACTTCTAGAAAAGGCTAAATTCACAGCCCCCAGAACAGGCTTCAACAGACACTGGAAACGTTTCATTTAATTTGAAAAATCTTAGTTAAGGTTTAAGAATGGCAAAAGAGCTTTGTGATTTCTTTATGAAAATTGATCCGTCTATGGAACGAAGTCCTACTTTTAATAGGAAAATTGCTAATGCCACTGCTAAATATCAGTCTGAATTAAAGGAGCTTTTAAAAACTGCTAAGCAAAAAAAAATTACAAAATTTTTTAAACCATAAGCCTAAGCCTGAAAATTAATCAATGAATATGGTCATAAACATCAATTAAATAGATTTCTTTATATATTTGTTTTTTTTATTTTGTCATCTAGGCACGTGTCCCTTATAATCCCATATAAATTACCATTCCATATTCACGGTTTCTGTATTCGCGGCATATATACGGAACATATACTCCGCGAATAAAGAGCTTTTACTGTATGTATATATATGTGTAGAAGAGTGAGCATTGTGGTGTCACATCTAGCAACCATCAATAACTTTCGTTTGTTGACTTTAGTTTGTAATTGAGGATATATCGAGAAATCCCCACTCTTTCGTGCAGTATAAAGTTCACTGTAGGCGCCTGTGTGCGCAGGGCATTCTGCTTAAGTCATTATACGAGTGAATTATTCCAGTAGTGTTAAGATAGTATCGTGGTTTTGTTTGTTGTAGTAATTTTTTGGTTTGTTATTAATATGTATAATTTTTTGGTATACTATTAATGTATAGTGCGTTACGCTGTCTTATGACTGATAATGATTAACTGCGTAAGCAAGAGAGCAAGTTGCACAACCGTTCTCACATTTTTATTATTTTTAACAATTAACGCTATCCTGTTTTATTTTCGAGATCAGAAGTAGGAGCTCCTATTGTATTTCCGATATACTTTCGTATTCGTGGCGCAGTGAGTCAGTAATGAGTGGCTGACAAATAATTTTTCCGGGTCTGGATGTTTGCCCTTGTGCAATTTATGTTTGTAAACTGCCTCCACGATATAGGAGAAATCCTAATCCTAGTGTGGGGGTAACGTAATAAAAAAAAATCTCCTTTACAAATCTAATGTAGAGGTTATGTGCACATTGTCACGCCGCCGTAAGAGTCGACAGAGGAAAACAAAATAGAAGATGATAATAATTCTCAATTTTGGTATCACTAATAGAATAGATTTTCGTCTACGATGAAGACCTCACATTAATAATGCATTGTTGAGTAGACTTATGTAATTTCGCTGTGCAAGGTTACAAGCAAGGTTAGTTTATTTTAGCCATTTTTATAGTGCTGTGTTTACTTGTCATGTGGTGTGCTATGGATTATTGCTTTAGAGACCGGTAACTCATTTTGAGAATATATGTATACTATAGAAAAGAGTCTTTCATTCCATGTACAATATCAGGCTTAGCGACTCATTCAGTGATCGTTTTAAACAAATTAATATCTACTGTTGCTTTACAAATCATACTGGATAATCTATACAAATAAATAAAATTGAAGTGTGTAGGCAATTTTCCTATATTTATAAGACATTATATGTTTATTTTATAGTATCATACTACTATATTCATTTATTAATATTAAAAAGTATTTATTTTATGTCTCTTATACTTATGTAAAATGTTATGTATATGTATACAGTGGTCGGAGTAGGTAGAGTTGTTTGGGGTGAATGACCGCAAACATTGATGTTAACATGGATATGCCTCTGAAATCCCGGGATTTTGATATTGTCGATTGATTTAAGTGAGTTAATATGCGCAGGTAGTAGGTGAGCACCCAAACAGTATATACTTACTCATATACACACACAGGGATCCTGGAATGTTGTTAGAGGTAGCTTCGTGAAATATGAATTAATTAAGTAGAACTGTTAGAAACAATACTAAATATACTTTACTGGACCAGGAAATATTAAACACAATACAGAATAAAAAAGGATGTAAAGAGTTTTATAATTTTTTTTATTTAAACAGAGAGAAGAAATTTTTATTGATCACTTTTTTGTAGAGGATTATTACCTTACTATTTTTCTTGTAGTTAATATTTAGAAAATGCTTTGCGTCTTTCTCTAACAAAGCAATTTATCTCTCTTTTATTTTTATATGTTTATGCTCCATCTTGCCAACCCGTCGTACGCGCTGTTTTCGTCGCTTATTTTTTGTCTCTTTCTATCTTAAAATGTCAAAAGTATTAGCTATCTATTCATATTAGTATTAGTTAACTATATATCTATTAATATTAGTATTAGTTAACTGGTTTCTGGAATTTTAGTGACACGAATACTTTGGCTTGGATTTACGGATTTTGATTTGTTTTTTGAGGAGTGGATACATTTGAAACTGTTTGTTTGATTCACTTACCACATTTGGGTAAGTGTTTTTTTATTTTTATAATATCCACTTAGTACAAAGGACATTCAGTGAAAAACCAAAGTAATTTTTTTTATAAAAATATTAGTAATCCTATTAATTAACATTACTAATATTCCTTTAACCACTCCTGGTAAGCTTAAAACGCTTGTGTTAGGAGTGGTTCACGACAGTAGTCGAATGGCGGATTCGAACGCACAACCTTTTGAGTTCGCGGTCTGAGCCCTGCCATTAGGCTACTGTCGCTTTTATTGTCCTCTGCTAAATACATATTTTTTCAGGCTTCCGAAGTTCCAAAGGAACCTTTATAGTTTCGCATTGTCCGTCTGTTTGTCACAGCCCACAGCCATTTTTATATACAAAAGTTTAAAGTGGAACTTTTCGTTAGTGACCTGAGTAGCAGGGAATTTGTTTACGTAAATTGTGCTCTCCCGCTACCCTACCTTGTACGTGATCCGACACGCACCTGACCGTTTTTTTTCTAATACAATCTTGTGTTAAAAGCTGACTAAGTCAATTAGAATACAAGGTGGACTAAGACCTCCCCCTCGCACACCCCCTCCCCTCGCACACTCCTTCAAGCACCGCGTTTTCCTATAATAACCATTTTCATTGGCTATTGACTGCACTTACCTAAATATTTTCAGAGACGAGTTTGACAGTTTTCTATCTGATTGTCTTGATCGGCTAACAAAATGCATTTGAATTATGCATGTCATACTTACTGTGGAACAATTTTTCGTGAATTTTTCACACAGTTTTTTCGTTATTTCGATTATTTATTGGAATAATTTTAACTGTTTACTATTATTTTAGGGCGACAAACGGAAATACTTGGCATATCTATGTTATGTCCGCATGCAAATAACAAAAATACCTCTACCTACTCCTATAAAAACTACTTAAACAATGTTTTTTTGATTCCGAGAATTCCCGGGATTCCGGGAAATATTTGGCATATCCATGTTATGTCCGCATGTCGCAAATAGCAAAAACAGCTCCACCTACTCCGACCTATAGTATTTACAAATTAACTTCATATTCGTGCTACAATTATACTAGGCTGCACAAAAAGTATCGGGAATGGAATATTTCCACTGTTCCTGTCATATTAAAGTCTTTTTTATTGAAAACTCCTTGGTTTTAAAAATCGAATACCATTTATTAATTTAAAAAAAGATTCTCGGTCTTGTCACAAGGTTTTGTCAAAATTGTTTAGTCGTTGAGAAAATGGAATGGACTCGAGAAAATTCACGAGAAAAAGAGCGATGATTTATTATGACTTTCGAAGTAGTTTAACACAAAAACAGTGTGTTGACCGGATGATTTTTGCATTTGGTGATGAAGCCCCATCCAAAACCACAATTTATCGCTGGTTTGCTGAATTTCAACGTGGACGTGTCAAGCTCAGTGATGATCCCCGTCAAGGTCGTCCAAAAACTGCAGTCACCCAAGAAAACGTTGATGCTGTGCGTAAGCTGATTGAGGAAGATCGACATGTGACATACCGCGAAATTCAGCACTCAATTCACAATTCAACACTACGATGTAAGAAGTGATGCTCTTAACTATTTCATATTTAAGTGACAGAACGCAAAAGTTGTAATTAATAGTATGAGTTCTTCCGGGTCGACTGTACAAATGGGCGTGCCTCAGGGCTCAATTCTCGGCCCCTTTCTGTTTCTTGTATATACTAATGACTTACCTTACATAGTAGGGGATAACCATGATATAGTATTATTTGCTGATGATACTTCATTAATTTTCAAATTAAAACGACAGTTAATAAATTGGGAGGATAAGTCGCTCGCGTCCGTAGGTTTCGACCATCTAATCCTAGGCCCACCCTACAC